AAAGTAAAACAGTGTGGATTTGGTGCTTTATTCAAATGCACAGGCAGCCAGTGTAAAGACCTCTGAGCTGAGCTGATGTGGTCCACTTCTTTGGTCTTAGTGAGGACTCGAGCAGCAGTTCCGAATGAGCTGTAGTTGTCTGACTGATTTTTTAGGTAGACCTGTAAAGATGCTGTTACAGTAATCAAGCCTACTAAAGATGGCAGGTAGTGTTTTTTTTTATGACATATATACACTGGGATAGCATATTCAATGGTGTCACTATGTTAAGTATTTGACTAAAAAGCTCAAGTTGTGTTTGACCTATATACACAGATTAACTGTTGTCTACATTTATATCATATGTTAACTCTTGATGCACAGCTGTTGTTTTGCAGACTAATAATTCACATAAAGAGGTAGTTTAGATATGTTTTATGTTTGGTTTTGATAGGTTCATGACTTATACTTCTAAAAAGAGGACGATTTGTTGTTACTTTATTATTCCTATTAACATATACGAACTGAAAGTCACTGATGACGTTATCAGTCTGTGAGAGGTGTAGGAAAATGAGGTCATGGACATTTTGTATTTCTTTGTCTGCCATGATGTATCACTCATGAAGCAGCATCTATAACTTTGTCAGTTTTGTTGCTTTGTGTTGACTGACAACCATGAGAAGTCAGCGCTCAGTTAGCTAAAATAATTAAGAATCACAGGGTGACTTTTTTAATAAAGATTAATTAGTGTCACCCTCTGTACTCTGTCTCTTTATTAGCTGTGAAAGATGCTGTAGTGAAACAAGTTTGACACACCTTGTGTGTCTTCAAAAAGTAACGTGTGACTAAAACATCAACAGCATCAAGGTCGGATTCTTGTGGAAACATAAGAATTTAGATTGAAGCTAAACTTAAAAAAAAAAAAAAAAGATTTGTTGAAATAAACCTTTTCAAACAGATCAAAACCAGATTTGGACAAATGTGAAGGATTTCCCGTAATAATGTCAGTTTGCTTTTCTTTTTAATGCAACATTTCTAAAATATTCTATGATCTCACAGGATGACGTTCATCCTACACACTCTGCCTCACCAGAATTGTTTTTCACAACCACAGTTACTTTTAACGTAATATTTAAGCCTGTGTGTTCTGAGCCATCATTGTTGAGGAATCTAACCCTACGCGAAGTTTTGCTTTTTCTAAATTGTTGCGTTGTCAGCAAAGAATGTAACGATTCCTACTAACATGCATCAAAAATGACATTTTCTCCAAAACATAAAGGTAATGGTTAGGGTTTAGGGTCATCGCCGACGCTGACTCATATATCTTTATATCTCTAAAGCAAAACATAATGTGGTGGCGCGAATCAGGGACACACATAGACTCACACAGGATGCTTTGTGTACATTTCGGTGGTTCTGAGCCACATCACAAACACAGTATGGATCATCAGTCCATACTGATGATCAGTCCATACTTATCACCACCAGAACGTAGACACTGGCAAACATGTTCAGAAAGCTGATGGTGGTGTTCAGCTTTTACATGAAGTTGCTAAAAGGCCAGAGGAAACCTGAAGCTACGTATGTCACTCTCAGGGGAAGAAATGATACAAAGACGAAGTCAGCCACAGCAAGGTTGAGGTACCAAACTGTCTATCAGCCCAATATCATTGCCAATATCAGGTGCAGTTGCAGTTGTACCGATTAGATCAAAGGAGTCATTGGTCGTCTCCATCACTGTCTTAAGAATGACATAAAGAAACAACAAAATTAAATCATTTTGTAATGTCTGTTTTTCAAAGCTCTTCTTTCAGATGTGCATGCACACTATCAGTGAAAAGTTTGGTCACACCTTCTCATTTAAAAGTTTTTCTTTATTTTTCGTACTTTCTACATTGTAGATACATAGTGGGGACATCAATTACATGATGCAAGATATATGGAATTATGTAGCAAACACAAGATGGATAAATAACTAGATATGTCGTATTTTTTATATTCCTGAAAGTAGCCACCCGTTGCTTTGTTGACAGCACTGCACTCTGATTGGGGCCATTGTCTTAAGGTCATTGCCTTGTTGAAAAATAAATGATAGTCCAACTAAATGTAAACCAGGTGTCATTGCAGAATGCTGTGGTAGCAATGCTGGTTCAGTGTACCTTCAATTTTGAATAAATCCATAAGATGAGCGGGTGAATTTTAAGACTGAAGTTGTTGAACAAGCTTATTTGACTGAAAAGTAACAAGATCCCTTTTTTAATCCACTCGGACAAAGAGTATTATCAAAACTAAAATTTTATAACGAAATACTAAATTAATCAAATTAAATAATCAATAATGAAAAGATTTTTTGACAGAAAAGCACTGAGATTTAAGACATGCAGAATGTAAGCTGATCGATTCACAAAAGGCAAGCAAGAAAATCGTTTGATTTGAGCAATGATGTCAGCTCTGAGTTTTACCATGTGAGAAAGTGGCAATAATGTAAAGAATAGACAAGCAGGCATACAGCAAGACAGGTGAATAGAATTTCTCTTTATTGAACTTAACCATAAGCTTGATTTTGGTGTTTTGTTTTTGACGTTGCAGATAGATGGACGAAATCAGTCACAGTCTTAAAAACGAAACATACATTGACCAAACGGTTTATAGAAGCTACAAATATGCCAGGAACCTTACTGTGAATTACTTTAAGTCACTATCCTATCAATTGGGCCACCCTACTTAATTGTAATAATGCTAGTGTTGAATTGATTCTAACATTTACACTCCTAATGCCTGGAAATGTTAAATTAGCCAAAAGAGCGGTCATACAAGACAGACCTCATTGTAACATGCATTTGTATAATATGCATCACCAAATTAGTCTGAAATGTTCTTTTTGAGTAAAAACAAAAACAAAAAACTGTTCTAGATAGCATACTTCATTTGCCAAACGGTGGCACTTCTTGCTCTTTTTCCTGTCATTCACTGAAGACTCACAGCTTGCAGCAGATGAATTGGAGAAACTGGAATTTGATGGGAAATGAACACACACTTATCACATTACTTTTCCATTTCTGCTGTTTTCTTTTTCCTCCGGCTGTCTTTACTGTTGGTGAAGCTGAGTCATATCCAGGGAGTGTTTGTTATCTTAAAATAAATTCTTTAAAAAGCAAAAATGTATTTAATATGAAGGCAATATGAGCAGAGAGTGCAAGCATGTTGAGAGACTGGCTGTGTTAGTTCAGTGAGAGAGTTATTTGTAAAGGAAACAATTTTCACTAGCAGTCAAAACCAATGTATCCAAATTATAGCAGTGCTGCCATGAGAGAGAGTACCATTTTGTTTATTTGGTAGTTCAATGAAAGGCTTCAGTTGTCATAGGCTGGGTAAGTGGCTGCTTTTTCCCTTGTTTTCACTCACAGTCCCACCTTTTGGGCAAGGCTCTCATCAACGCAGCTGGTAGGCTCAACTGACGGCAATCCAGGGATTACCAGCCAGCAGTATTTAAGGCCAGCGGCTTCATTTGCTCTCCACCGGTTTGTCTGCTAACCGGTACTACAGGTCCCTCTTGTTCATGCATTCTATGCTTTTTGTGTCTCATCTTGATTCTTTCCGTGTACCATAAACCAAGCAGCCAGGAACACACAGGTACAAATGTAAACTTTAAAAAAATGGGTTTTATTAAATACCAAAAAGGACAAGATGATTATAAAAATTCAAAATGACAAAAAATAACCTTTTTTTAAGAACCAAGTGGGTCCATAAAAGAAGTTAACTTAACAAAACTACTCAAAAGTAACTTAACAAAACATAACTCAACAAACTGACCTCCCAAATGAGAAACAGCTCCAGTTATATAGCAAATGAATAAACCATTATATACACCAAAGGTGAAAACTAGAGAGATAACAGCTAACCATCATTCAAGAAGAACCCCATTCCCCCTACATGATCACAATAGATGGTCCAGTCCATTTTATTGGCTTCTGCATTTAAACCAGCTCCACCCTCAGCCTCCGGTTTCAGCCAAACCAGGAAGGACTGGAGTGGAGTGGAGGCCAGGTAACTCAGAAAGAACAGAAATATAGTATAACATATACCCATATAAAATACCAAACAATGCAAAACAGAGTCTATGCCACCATTTGAACTATAGCTTAGTGCTGTCATGCATTACAGCTAGTGATGGGCAGATGAAGCTTCATGAAACACTGTAGCTTTTCATCCAATTGGTTCACCCCAGCGCAAAGTGTCTTGAAGCTTCATTTGCTCTAGTAGGACACCTACTGGATGTAAAAATATTAGTTGGCATGAATTTGAAGAGTGTGGCCTTTTGCACACAGCCTGTAAATGTCAACAACAAAAGGAGTGTGTAAAACATCTATATTGTAGTGATGGCAGTATACTGTGTATATTTATACTGGCAGTATGGAAAATGATCATTTGGAAATGCTTAAAATGGGAATGATCATTTACTGTGAGGTGAGGTGTGGTTGGGGTGTGGACAGTGGTTGTGCTTTTGTAACGTTGAGGTATGGACAGCTACACACTGAGGCTTTGAGCCGCAATCCTGCCCACATTTTATTCTGTAAAAACTAAATTTTCACTGCTTTTATGACCTTTTTAGTGGGGTGAACATAGGTAGGCTTTAATGATTTAACATCTTTTAAATCCTTTGTCCTCCACAATGCTAAATGGCTGGTAGTCCTCAATCACCATGCTAACCAGGTCTTCATCTATTTGAGATTGTTCTCCTGAGGAAAGACAATAAAGACAAAGCACAAATATAAATATCACACACGTAACTTATAACAGTTGTATAATATTGTTATATCATTTAGTAACATTACTGCATGCTATATTATCATGGCATTTCATGGCTCACCTGATCTTACGGTGTTCCCCCTATTCTCATGCAAAGCTCTGTAGTGCCTAAGCATGGATGAGGTGTTGTTGTTATATCCCAGCTCCCTGGCACATAGCAAACACTTCACCCTGTACAAAAGTAAAGCCGCTTAACATAAATTGTATTGCACCATCAGTATTATGAAAATACATCTTCTGTAGAAATTTACATACCTTGTTGGGAGGAATAAAATCAAAATGTTCCCACACAGGGGAGGACATCCTCCTCTTCTTAGCTGGCTCCATTCTCTTCTGAGTCTGAGGGGTTTATATATCGATGTCATAGCTCGCGGCAAAGTCCGAACCACTTCATGAACCAGTCACGTGGTACAGCCGGGCAGCGAGGCTTCGGACGTCATCATTTTCAGCTCCTCCCATAAATGCGCATCGCGGAAACGCCCCCTCCATTACTCGACACAAGCTTTGAAGAACGTCACATCACTACTTTAGAGCATAATGTAAAAATAAGATAAAAAGATCAAATGAATATAAATATCATATAAAATTAATAGATTTTTAAAAAAATATTTTACTGCTGGGGTCCTGTGTAATTCCTTTCCTCCTGTTGTTAAGGATTTGACCTTAAAGATTTCAATGACAGCAATAAAATTCACTCCAACCATCACTTATCCTAGCTGTCCTGTACTCATTTTAAAAATTAATCCTAAATACTGCAGTACAACAAAGGACTTTACTAATGAACACTGAGCGCCTTGAGGCGACTTATGTTGTGATTTGGAGCTATATAAATAAAATTGAATTGAATTGGGGCAGCACGGTGGCACACTGTTGCCGCACAGCAAGAAGGTCCTGAGTTCAATTCCACCATCAGGCCGGGGTCTTTCTGTGCGGAGTTTGAAAGAAAGAAAGAAAGAAAGAACCCACGCAAACGTGGGTTGCGTGGGTTCTCTCCGGGTACTCCGGCTTCCTCCCACCGTCCAAAGACATGCACTTAGTGGGGATAGGTTAATGTGTGAATGTGAGTGCGAATGGTTGTCTGTCTCTGTGTGTTGGCCCTGCGACAGACTGGCGACCTGTCCAGGGTGTACCCCGCCTCTCACCCTATGACAGCTGGGATAGGCTCCAGCGACCCTGAACAGGATAAGCGGACGCGAATGGATGGATGGATGAATTGAATTGATCATAATCTTTAGCTGATATAGCATTCTCCGTTCCTTATCAAGGGAAGCAATTCAACAAGAAGCAGATTTTATTCCAGCAGTGTGGTGAATTTAACAAACTGCATTTGTTAAATTTATAAAAGCTATAAATATATCAGGAGGTTATGGCGTGGAATGGAAAATACAGCTACAATAAACATTTATATGATCTGCTCAACTTTGTTTCTCATCTTAATTTTTTGCATGAATAGTTGTTGGCTACTTCTTTACTTAGTATTTGGGAAATTGGAACAGCTCTTATAATGGCTGCCACACAGATACTTCCAGCTCTAAGTTAGGGACCTTACTCAGCAAAATGGATAATTGGAAAGCACCCACAGACCAGTGGGAGAAGGGTGCCCAATAGTACAGGTCACCTTAACATTGACAAATGTTCTGTCAATACTTTACTGCTGCCACTGCTGTTATACAGTATATTTTTAAGCGACTTTGAAAGCCATGCTGGATATTGTATTGTTTCGAGATGCAGAAGTATACCAATATATATGTGACCAATGGAGTTAGAACCTTTCATATTTATAGAAAGATAAGCAAAAATCTCACTGTACCTCTTCTTACTTGAGGCACATTGAGTGTCTCCGGGGAAATAATATATTAATAATAATAACAATAACGGATTGCAAAATGTTGATGATTCAGAATGATTTGGCTTCACTGAATCATT